TACGAATATTTATGCATCCCTCGTTGTTGGCCGCATCTTGCTGTTGTTAAACATTGGATTCTATCATGTAACATGCCATCGGACACGCCCGTCATGCTCTTGAGTGATCACAAGTTGTTGGAGATGAATGTGCCCCAATTGAGTAAGATGAGATCTCGAAAGGCGGTGCCAGCTATTCCTTCCTTTGCCAAGTGGAGAGTGCCGCCAGGGATGGAGAAGGTTGTGGCAAGGCGTCTTGATCACGCCCCGGCTCCCACATCTCACCCGTTTGCAGGCGGAGGGGGGGCAGACGTGATTTCCACTGAGGACGAGGTCGATGTCGGGGTCCAGGCAAAGGCTACCAGGAGAACAGCATCATCGTTTCCTGAAGGACCCCCTGAGGCCCCCATCGATGACCAAGGAGGAGGTGGAGGTGAGGAACCAACACTATCAAAAACACAAACAGTGGAAGAGGGGGGAGATCACGATTGAGGAGTTTCGGCAGAGTCGGCGGATTTGGAACAAAGTGCGACGACCTTTTCGTAGTCGCCAGGTCAAGTTCGAATTTAGGGACGGAAAGAAGACACGTAAGCACATCACGCACGTCATGGTTGAAGGTGTCAAGACGGAGGATAGGATAGCTTGGGAAAGGGCACTCCAACAGCGTGGGTTAAATCGATATGCGGACGGCTCCCAGAATATTGCCAATGATGAGTGTGCTCGGAAGTTACTCCAGGAGGCCGAGGCTACATCTCTCTGTGGAAATCTGATTACCATGGGGCTATTGCTTCTGGCCAGGACGACTAGATTAAAGATGGGGGGGGGGGGGCAGTGGGAGCGGACGGTGTCGGTGCATCCCTGCTCAAAGCTTTACCATGGACATCCTTATGTATGATATTGCAGGCCTTTCAGAAGCTCTTTGCCAGGAGCTCTGTCACTTCCCAAGAATGGAGAATGCTTTGTGTAACGTTACCCCCCAAAAAGAATGGGGCCCTTTGTTTCGCAGAAACACGAGCCATTGTACTTCTAAGTGTATTCAGCAAGTGGTATAGCAGCTGTCTAGCACAGCTTTTGGAAAGGCATGTCAGATCGATTGATGGCCATAAGCACTGCCAATTATATGGATTCATGCCTGGAAGGAGGACCCATGAGGTGACGAGTGGCCTCAAGAACCTTGTGAGGCACACGGCCATGTGGGGCAAATCGTACTCGCTGTTTTGGGCGTCGCTTGATGTCGCCAGAGCCTTCGACAATTTCACCATACCTTGTGCGGCAGAGGCTATGAAGTTTTCCAACATCGACCCTAATTTGGCATATGCAGTACTCGAAGGATATACCAATAACGTGGCCACACTTCGTTTTCAGGAGATCGAGACGTCCAACATTCCTTGGGAGAATTGTATCAGAACTGGATCGATGGAAGCCCCAATGTTGTGGGCCCTCGTCAGCATCATGATTTTTGAACCGGTGTGTACTGGATGGTTTGAGCGTGGCCTGGGGTACCCTCTGTGAACAGTTGGAGCGCCAAACGAGTGGAAAATTACAAACATGTTGTGGGCTGACAATTTTTTTTTATTTGCAGTTTCCGATGGCCAGCTGGAAATAATGATCACAGAGATGACGACGGCGTTGAGGCGACACGGCTTTGATTGGAAAAAGGAGTCACTCATGTTTATGAACACTATATCGCCAGATGCTGAGGGTAGCTTGGTTATCGACAAAATAGATCCAGCTGTTGAATTACCGCACGTGCAAGTCATGGACGTCTTGGGGGTCAGGATCAAACGTTTTCGGGCACATGGTGACATGCATCACAGGTGGGAGCTAGCTGAGAAAGCATTCCGGTGTAATAAAAGCTACTACTATGATCGGTCCCTGCCGCTCAGCAAAAAGATTGTGTGCAAGCGTGCTTTCTTTATGGTGTCGAAGGGGCCGCGATAGTCTCCAACAGCCTCAAGTTCATTCACGCAAGGGAGGGAGGGTTATTGGCCAAAATGTTGTGGCGGTCGAAACGACGGGATGAAAACTGGTTTCTTTTCTTAACGCAAAGGGTCCGAGCAGGGAGAGCGTTGCTTCATCGGACAGGGCGAGAGAGTCTCGTTCAAAGAGTACTTCGCAAACAGTGGGAGTGGGCGAAGGATATCTCTGATTCCCTATGTCATGTACTTCCACCACCTCCACCCCTTTTACCCTGCCGTTCAACTGCTTCCACGTCCCCACACGTCAACAGCATGCAGGAGGAGATGTAGGAGGAGGCCCCAATGCCAGAGAATCGGCGACAACTACATACGAGGATGATGAAGGAGGCGAAGGAGGAGGGAATACAAGGCGCCAGAAGCAGACGTCATGATGAGGGGGACCCAACCCAAAGTGCGAGTCAGAAGAAAACGAGGACCCAACTTTCAGGCAGCACTCAGAGGCTAAAAGAAAACCTTGGTCACAAGCCTGCTCCGCGAGCCCTGGGGACGGAGAAGTCGGACATCCTCAACGCGCACCTGCAGGCTCGTACTCTGATGCTCGTGGGGAATGTTGCTTGGACGCAGCAGATGGATACGTTTATCGAGTATCTTGGAACCCAGCAGGCACGTGAGATCAGTCGCAGCGGCGGTCGTTCGAACGGTGCTCATCGTCTGGCTTTCCACTCCCGGGCTAGCATCTTCGAATCCGTGGGAGGTGAGTTCTTGTGGAGAGGCCATCTTAAGTGGTCGGAGAAAGGATGGACAGACTTATGCTGTCAGGCACTCCGAGAGCTTGAACGCTACGAGCAGATGTTCCCGTATTCCGTGCTTAAAAACAGCAACATACATGTGAGGAAGGAGGAGGACGAGGAGATGTCCACGGACCCCTTGCACCCCAAGAACATCGAGACCTCCAGGAGATTGGCAAAACTATATGAAAGGCAGCCCACTTGGGAATTTTTTCCAGGTTTTGTTTCTATGGAGTTAAGTGGGGACTCTCAAGTGGTTGTAAATTGGCTGACAGGCTTGTATACTACTAGCAATCTGACTTGTATGAATGCAGTTGCCGATGTATCTAACTTGCTATATCTTCTTACAACGACATCGGGGATTATTCCACCGAGCGCAGGCCATGATATCTGGAAATGGGTGTACAGAGAAGGCAACACAAGGGCTGATCGGATGACGTGGAATGCGAGGAGAGGACGACAGGAGCGAGTTTTCGAGTGGAGGTTTATCAAATAATGTCAACAGAATACTATCACAATGTCGGGGATTTGAGGTGCCTTTGACGGGGGTGTATCGACTGAAGGAGTTGGTGCAGGATGGGTATGTGACGTGTGCGTGAGTAGTGTCCTCCCTGGCTCTTTTTTTCCCCCATCTTGTGCCCAGCAGTGGTATGAAGATGTGGCTTTTTCCCTCATTCTCCCCTCCCCTCCACGCCTCTATCACGTCCGCTGAACTCTGTGCAGCGACTCAGCTTCTAAGAGGAGTACAGGACATAGTTAAGCTGTGCCTGTAGTGCCCCCTCTCGGAGCTCCTGGGATTGCGAATCTGCAATGCGCCAGTTGTGGCAGGACATCGAGCGGCGCTGACCTCAGCGCTGCCAGCTCTGACCGCAAACCGCAAACATCAAGGTTGACGGTTTACCGCCGGCTCCCAGCTGGCAAAAAAATCTCGACGGAAGTTTCGTTTTTTGACTTGTCTCAATTCGATTTCTCGAAAGTCAACAATTCGTTTGAGCTCTATTATTTTTTCTCTTCATCTGCGATCTTATTCCCGCTCGCCGTCTCAATCTCAGGTCGATCGGGTACCTATTTCTGCCAAAAAGCACTGGGGCGGGATCAGCTGTTTCGAGTCATCTTGACAGGTGCTGTCGGTTTTCTGTGCTTAACTCGCTACAGAGCTGGTAGGCGCACCTAATCGATCTGGAATCGTCCGGCGCGTTCGTCCAAAGTATCCAGGTGTCTGAACTCGGTCTGGTACTCGAGCTAGGTCCGCGAAGTTATTCGTACTCTAGTTTTTTGGAGATGATGAGCGCTGGCGCCGCACAACTATTCCTAGTTTTTTTTGGAGATGGTGATGGTTTTCTTGACTTGAGTTGCAGATGAGATACATAGCTGTTCAAAGTGCGCTAGTTCAAAGTATCTAGACACCTGAAATCAGTCTGCTGTCAGCGATGGCGCTGAAACACTATTCGTACTCTGTTTTTTTTTGGAGATGGTGATGGTTGCCTCGACTTAACTGGAGCTACAGATCTGTTCAGCACAGAAATTGGAAGGAAATCATGAGACGCGCTAGTTCAAAGTATCTAGACGCCTGATCTCGGTGTGCCATCAGTGCTGGGGCCGAACAACTATTCGTAGTCTGCTAACTTGTTCGAGACGGTGATGCTTTTCTTTACTTAACTCGATCTGCAGATGAGCTAGAGCTGTTCGGCACAGCAATGGGAATGACACCATCAGGCGCGATAGTCTGAAGTATCTAGACGCCTGAACTCGGTCTGCTATCAGCGCTGGGGCTGAACAACTATTCGTGCTCTGCGATTTTTTTGGGGATGTGTGGGTTTTCTTGACTTAACGCGAGCTGCAGATGAGCTACGCAGCTGTTTTGGCGCGGCAATTGGAAGAAAATAATCAGGCGCGCTGTATCTAGACGCCTGAACTCGGTCTGCTATCAGTGCTGGGGCCGAACAACTATTCGTACTCTGCTAATTTTGTAGAGATGGTCATGGTTTTCTTTACGCTGTTTGGCGCAGCGATCGGAAGGAAATCAACGGGCGCGCTAGCTCAAAGTGTCTAGACAACTGAACTCGGTCTGGTATGTCTATATTTTTTCCAGAGATGCTTTTCCTGCGCTCCTTCTTCTCCTCCATGAAACCGCGCCCTCGCGCGCGCAATGCGAGATTGCCGCGCCCGCATTGCAGGAGGAAGCTCTACGAGTTCCCGGCGGTAACCAGGGTTGTGCATGCACACGTAACGTACATCTCTGAGTACCGAACGGGTGATTTGTCGGCATTGAATTGATCAGTTGTTCTTGCGTGCCCCTTCCTTGTGCGGCATCATGACAGCGCAATTTTGTTCGATGAGTTCTGTTTCGACCAGTTGGAAAAGAAAAACAAGGATAATCAAACTGGCGATTTGTAGACAAGCTGTATCTGATGTTATGCAGTTTAATGCTCGTGATCCATATTTTGTGGCTGATCCGAATACTTTCCCCGCGTTTGGCTGGTTTGATAACCTCGATGATTGTGCGCGAAACCCATGCCCGTTTCAGGGGAACTCGGAGGAGCAGGTCAGTATATTGTTGAGTTCCTTATCGGTGCCAACTGCTGGGCCAACTGATCGTGGAGAAGCTTTCTCGTCTCATTCGGTTGCGTATTCTCCAGATGTGGTGCAGTCTCCAGATGGTGGGCTGCAGTCGAGACTGGGCTCTGTTTCTTTTGATCCTGGTGTTCAGAATGAGGTGTTGCAGGACGAGGAGTTGCAGGATGAGGATTTGCAGAGTGAGGGGGTGCCGAATGAGAAGTTGCATTATTCTCAGCATATTGTTTTCTTGGATTCAAGCTCTGAAGTTTGCCGCGCTCCATTTCCTGACACTCTGTCGGCTTCTGTTGACCCAGGTGTTCGGAAAGAGGATTTGCATGATGAGGAGGCACGAAGAAGCCCCGCGAGCCCCCGTAACCAGACGCCGTCTTGGTTACCGCCGGGTCGTAAAGATAACTGTGCATCTTCTTCCCGGCTCTGTTCAGATGAGTTGCAGAGCAATCGATCTGAGTGTCAAGCTGCCAGGGACTGGGCGCGTGCCAATGATGACGCAGTTGCTCTTTGGCGGGAATTCGAACGGCTCCCGAAAGAGGAGTTTTGGGCTCGGATCGAGGCGCTCAACGCATGCAAACTTCGAATGGGAATTGAGAGTCCCGAGGAGGCGCCGAGTCCTGAGGAGGATGCTGGCCGTGAGAAAGGCCAGAGGCACCGCAGAAACAGGAGGCGGGCAAGGGCGAAGGCTCAGGCAGTTCTAACTGGCTCTTCTATGTCAAAGTCGGCCCCTCAATCTACTTGCGATCCTCCCCAACCTCCGTCCTCTTTTCACGATTCAGTTTCTTCCGCTCTACCCGCCCCAATTGTGCCCTTGTTGCCCGAAGGCGACAAGGAGACGGAGGTGGATGAGTTGCATAACTATCAATCAGAGTGCGATGAGGACGCTGATTCGGATGCGGCCTTCCACGCATGGGATAATATGGCCACCCAGCGAGTGAGGGCAAATTTTTACTTGAAGCAGGCTGCTCTGCACCGTTTCTGTGAGGCTTTGCGCCGTGATGGGGGGGAGGACGTGGACATCCAGAGAACCTGTGGGCTGTGTCGGTTGGACAAGATAAGGATGCACCGTATTGCAGGGTGGTGCTTCGGACATTGGCGGTGCTTGACATTCTACTCAAGTGGTGCTCAACGGTTGATGGAACAACGCTTGCAGAGCCACATTAGGAACCTTTGTGTAACCTTTTGGCCTTAACTGTGGCCTTAACTGGCGCCTGGCGCTGTTCAAGACATCAACTTAACTTTCATTCTGCTTCGCCTGTGATATACAACGTAAACATGAACTAGTCGGCCTCCACGGTTTCTTCGTTGGAGGGCGGTCTGTGGAAGCATATGCTGCTGATCGGCTGTTGCTTTGATCAATGCAGTAAAACGGCATTGTATGGCCGTGGAACACGTTTTGGGTAGCGTTTCAACCAGCTCTTACACCATTCTTTAACTTGTTCCAGCACCTTTGCATTCTCACATGTTGTGTTGCATCCTTTTCCTTGTTCCTGCATCCTATTCCGGTGCCTATGCCTCAGTGGCTCGGCAGTGTGATGATAAGAGGTGCCTTCTCTAGCTACCCTGTGCTCCGTTTGGGAGTCTTAGGGCTCAGCTGTCACAGCTGTCCGCGCCCTGACTCAAACTCAAAAACCAAGGTTGCCGTCGGGGACCCCTCGAGCCGCATCGTGCGGTCAGGTGCTTACACACTCGTGTATCGTACTGTATCCGCGGGGCGCGCGGGGGCCATCTGTCGTTCAGCTGCGACAAGTGTTCCATCGGCGTGCTCTTCCAGGTCAGCAGGTGCTCTCTCTTTGTTGTGGTTGCAGTATCGTTGGATCGAGCCCGAATTACAGTTTTCTGCTCCATTGCACGTGTGCTTGCGACTTGCTCACCACGACGAGTGTTGCGGAGTTCAACTTTCTTGCCAATCTTACACGGTACACCAAGCGTCGACGTCCACAGATGACGGCTGTGTTGGGTACTCCGACGGGTGCACAGGATATGCCGATGGGAGGTGAGGACGGAGAGGAGGAGCGAGATGAGTTCGAGAGAGCGCTGGCTGCCCCTGCACCTGGGAATGTCAGACTCACAGTTAGTCAGTTGGAGGGTTGTGCTGCGGTTGCCGAACGTGTTGCTTCAGAGGATGCTAAGAGGGCTCGAAAGGTTCCTGGGGCCCCAGCGGATCCCATGGCTTCCATTGCAGCATTCCTGGACTCCAAGTTCTCAGAACAGCAGCACTTCTTCGACAATTCTCTTAAGGATCGTCTCAAACCATTGGAGGAGGCAGTGAAGCAGAATCAGGCGGATATTGTTGACATCAGGAAGTCTCAAGCAGAACAACAACGTCAGATTGAAGAACTCCAGCAGGCCATCCAGAATCGTGCAGGCTCCAACAGCTCCACAGGTGCCCCGAGTACCGTTGGTGCCCCACGTGTGTCCTACCAGACTTCACGGCCGCAAGACTTCATACGTGTCCCTCGTCCGCCGTTCACTCCGACTTATATCGCTATTCAGGGTTGGGCGAAAGGTGCCAATCGTGATATCTCACAGCGTTCCGAGGTGTTGTTCAATGAGGCGGCGGCTCAGCGCTGCCTGGCGTGCTTGTTTGAGAAGGCAGGCTGTCTCCAACATATCGACAAGGTTCGGACCAACAATGCAAATACTAACAAGCCGTGCGGACTGTATCGGATCAGGGTGCACTTCAAATCCACTGTGAGTCGGGATGTGATGTGGGAGTGTAGGAAGGTTTGGTTGCAGTGTCTCCAGGACGGTCGCATGTTTGCACAGGACCCGGATGTCAGGGAGTACAAACGTATTGTGCAGTGCCGTGTGTCTATCCTTGTGGAATGATCCCCATGGAAGCAGCCTCATGTAGCTGCAGAGGGGAGGTTCAAGGCGTGCTTCTACAAGCACAGCAGCTTGGTGGACGGATGTGTGCGTATCGAGTCGTATGGCCCTCCGACGACGTTCGTCTGGGCGTATCCTAGCCTCCAGTACACGGACGGAGCTGGTGTTGCATCGTTCAGGACCGACCGTGCTGATCAGTGGTTGGTTGATGAGACGGCACTCCTTCGGATCGATTCGACATTCAAGCTGGCGGAGTTCAAGGCAGCCTTGCACTCCACCGAGTAGCGGGGCCCCGACGCCTGGCTCGACACCCAGGCGGTATCTATCGCCACATCGAACTGTCGGAAGTTTGGGAAGCTCTTCTGCCAGGAAGTTGTGCGTGGCAGTTTTCAGAATTCAACATTGGGCGTTGGGGTTGCATTACTCCAGGAGGCTCAGCATTTGACGGATCTTGGGGCGTCATGGCATACCGAGCATTCTGTGTGTAGGCGTGCATGCGTACTGTACAATACTAGGAGGTGCAATCAGCGTATCTCTTCGGGTCGAGGCGACCGATGGTGTGCTGTGATATTTCGCAGTATGATTGCCATCAGCGTTTACTTGCCTCACAACTATGTGTTTGGAAAGAGCCGTGATGCTTTCTTCCCGGCCATCTGCGAGTATCACCGTGTCCTGAGGGAGGTTGCGTTGACTATCCAACGATTGAAGTCGCAGTTTGGTATCAGGGACGTCGTCTTGGGGGTGGACGGGCAGGTGGAGGTGGAGGGTGAGGTCTTCCATGAGCAGTGGCCTGTGACTGGCCCTTGTGTGGATGGTACTTCCCTTGCTCCCCGCAGCACCTCTGGAGGTTTCGAAAAGGACGCCCGCGAGTTCTCCCAGGCCTACTCCGAGGCCCTTACTACCGCTATCGGAGTCTTGGGACTGTTGATGGCGAATACCTTCGACGGCCCTCGCAGGCCCACGTGGCGGTCAACAAAATATATCCCTGAGGCACAACAGTATCAACATGTGTATGACTATCTGTGTGTACCGAGACACTGGTTCGTCGACCTACCCTCTACTTCGGTCACTTGGGCGGTGCCCCGAGAGGCCATGGCTGAGGACACTATGCAGCTAGAAACATGGTGGAGCGACCATGCGATTGTCGCTCGTACTTCTGCAGACTTTCAGGCCAGCAAGGACTGCCAGGCAGCGCCCTCGCAACAACACCCACTGGCGGTGTGCCGAGGACTCTCTGCAGCAGCTGCGCAGTAGTATCGACAGTACTCTGTGTGACGGACCGACAGAAATGACACCGGCTGAGATCGGCACCCATATCCTCCAGGAGGCCTCCAAGTTCGGGCACTCCCCTACCTACCAGGACACTCTCCCACGGGTCAGTAAGGATTACATCCAGGCACGTCTTCGGTGGACTGAAGTACGTAGGAGGTGGAAGGCGGGGGAATGTTCGGAGGAGGAGATGAAGGCTGCCCGTCGTGAGAAGCAACGTGAGCGTCGAGTCCACAGGCGACGCCTCACGGAATACTCGTTTCGACCAGGTGCACAGTGCCGTACACATCTCTATGCATTGCATGAGGATGGGGAGGATACGTGTGACGTTCTGAAGTGGGAGGAGGCTTTACGTGTACACGGTTTCACTCATTACAGTTGTGAGGAGGAGAGGAGTGTTACTCAAGGAATGCTGGAGGAAAGGAGGAGGCGGTTACAGGATACATCGGGTGGTCCTCACGGCTGCCTCGGACGGGATGGTATCCCAATGGGGGTCCTCATGAGAGCCTGTGCGAAGCTCAAAGTGGGACGTGCGGTGGGGAAGGATGGGATCAGTGCCAGTATGCTCCGATGCGTGCCCGGGTCCACTCTCTGCTCCATCTTGAAGCCCTTTCGAAAGCTGTTTAGCCGCGAGTTCGATACCCCCTCGGTGTGGCGTTCTATTTGCATCGCGCTGATGCCCAAGCACCAGCGCGCCACCGACTTTACAGAAATTCGTGCTCTCAGTCTTCTTAGTGTGATATCAAAGTGGTACCATTCGTGTTTGATTATCATCGCTGCGTCCCATCTGCGATCGACTACACCTGGGTGTATGCTCTACGGGTTTGCGGGTGAGCGCAGGGTACACGAGGTCACAGCGGTTGTGAAGAGGTTAGCTCAACATGGTGTGGAGTGGGGTAAGTCTCACTCTTGCTGTTTCGCGTCCCTGGATGTATTGCGTGCTTTCGACCACCTGGCGGTGAACAACCTCTCGGAGTCCATGGATGCGTCATCGTTCCCCCCCGACTTGGCCTATGCTATATTAGAACCACAGAGTCACTGTGTTGCAGATTTCAAATTTCAGGACGTCGAGGTCATGGGTGTACCATGGGACCGATGTGTGAAGGCAGGCTCAGTTGAAGCCCCCATGGGCTGGATATGCGAGACGATTGTGATGTGGAGCGACTTGTGCCACAACTGGCGTCGTGCTGGCATTGGCATTCCCCTCGCGGATCAAGCAGGCGCTCTGGTTTTCTCCCACGCCATCTGGGCGGACAATATTATTCTGGGTGCCTCCTCCACTGACCAGCTCATAAAGATGGTGCGTGAGATGTCGGTACTGTTGTACCCCCGATGGTATTAGAGCTGGAAGCCCAGCTCTCTCCAGTATAGCTCTGCGGGTTTCAGTGTGCCCCTGAGGTGCCCATCGTGGTGAGTTTCACGGTGGCTGGCCCCCCATCTGATCAAAGCCGGAAATCAACGCCACCATCTGCAGATCAAAGCCGGAAATCAGCGCCACCATCTGCCTTGGGTCATAAGAGGCGCCCTACTTCTCAGTCGCCAACGGTCACTATCCAGTTGCCTCGGGTCCAGTGTATGTCCATCTTGGGTGTGATGACTGATTCTTCGATGCATACGCATGCCGACGTTCTCCATCGTATCAGTTGCGGTGAGCGGGCCTTTCGGCATGAGAAGCGGTATTACTGTTGTCGGGACATCCCGCTTTATTCGCCGAATCAGGCGCTACGACGGTAAAGTGCGTGCCAAGATCCTTTTTGGAGCACAGGGTATGACGTCATATCAGAGTACTTTAACTGCACTGCACAAATGTGAGGGTAAGCTCTTAGCTAATATGATGTGGAGGAGAAAGGGGGCGGGTGAGGATTGGAGTATTTTCACGCAGCGTGTATATCTTCATGCGAGACGTGC